GTTCTCCCTGCAGGGTGGTCCCTCGAGTGCCTGCAGGACTGGGCCTCCTTCCTGCACCTGGCCATCCCTGGCATGCTCATGCTGTGCATCGAGTGGTGGGCCTACGAGATCGGAAGCTTCCTGAGCGGTCTGTATGAGGACGAACAGCAACACGGCTGGTGGGAACATGGGGCCCTGTCTGAAAGCAAGGCGTGCTCTGTCTCTCTTCCCCAGGTACCCTCGGCATGGTGGAGCTGGGAGCCCAGTCCGTCCTGTACGAACTCGCCCTCATTGCGTACATGGTGGGTGTCTGAGAGCTGGTTGTGTGGAGATGCTAGATGTTTCTCTTGCTTGATGTTCTGAGAGTCCCACAGATGAACACAGGCATTTGTAACGTTAAGTACTGATTTGTGAAATGATTAACAGAAGTAAAGTCTCATCCCAGGGCCTGGGAGAGTCCCTTTCATATGGTTGGATCTTCCCTGTGAACTGAAGTGGGGGTTGGGCAGAAACTCCAAATGATCTGCTAGTTCTCCATCTCCTCACAGTTCAAATCTGAAATATTTGACTTTATTTCCACACATTTGGAATCTTTCTCAGTTGTCACCACATGCATTCCTTCAGGGGCCAGGTGGGTGGCATAGTGGAGGCATGAGCTGAGCACGTGCAGTAGATGCCAAGCTGCTTAGATCTCACCTTGCCCAGCGCCTCCTGCTCCTGAAGCCCCTCAGACACCCTGGGAGCTCTCCCGGGTAGACACCCAAAAGACCTGAAAGCAGGGTCTTGAACAGATATTTGCACACTGTGTTCCTAGCAGCCTTATTCACAATAGCCCAAAGGTGGAAGCAAGCCCCGGGTCCATCGGGGATGAATGGATAAACAGGAGGTGGTGTATGCACACAACGGAATATTATTCAGCCTTGAAAAGGAAGGAAATTCTGATCAGCTAGAGAAGAAACCCAGTCCTTAGAGGCTTTCCTTTGACTTTGTTTTACTGAAAAAACATCAATTGGAAACTCTGCAGGGCTGTCTTCTCTAGCACGTGCCACTTTAGAAATGTAAAATTAAAGACAGAAAAGGGAGTTTGTGGTGTGGAAAGAGACTAAAGCCAGAGATGTGCTTTTGCACCATGTGTCGTATTAGTGCTTAGGTTTTCCCCCTTGATGTTGGTCATATT